AGCTTTTTCAGGAAGCAATTCGTTCATCTGGTCGGTAAAAGCTCTGGAAAAGCTTTGTTTGACTCTGTGCTAAGTTTGGCCTTTCCCTGCGTGTGGCAATAAGTTCTCTGGCAGCTTTCCAAGGGAGATAAGGTGGGTGTTCGTAAACACCCCCCTGCAAGGCTGTTTGAAAAGCCTTTCAGACTGGGAATGACAATAATTCACAGCCGTATGAATTAAAGAGGTTTGCCGGGACTAAGATTGTGCTGTATACTTTCTAAGGAAGCCTAAATTGGAACACTGGTTTTCTAAAACAATTCTCAACCGCTTGCCTGAAAATTATTATTATTGTTTTCTGATGCACTATTAAAATGGCTTCTTTGTAATAAAAGCCATTTAGAGCGCTAAAAAAAAAAATGGAAAAAGTTGCCCGTTTAAGAAGTTGGGCACGTCGAGAAAACTTTTTTTAAAAAAAACAAGAACCCAAAAGGTGAATAATAACTGCCCGAATCAGTCCGAACCGGCTGATACCACCTCTGCAAAGCTTCCAAAAAACACTCATTTTTTTTTAGCTTTGCTATTCTCTCTCTCTATATATATAATAACAGAGTTGGAAGGGACCTTGGAGGTCTTCTAGTCCAACCCCCAGCTTAGGCAGGAGGAAACCCTACACCACTTCAGACAAATGGTTATCCAACATCTTCTTAAAAACCTCCAGTGTTGGAGCATCCGCAACTTCCGGAGGCAAGTCGTTCCACTGATTCGAGCAAGCTCTGCCATTTTTGCAATCTAATCTTGGCTTCCGGCATCCTACCTTCAAAGGGTGTCGTTCCAGGGATGAAATGCTCCCGGATTGGACCGGATCGCTCGGTCCGGTAGCGATCTTGGCCGGTGATTTGGCGATCCGGTAGCGATGGTGGAGTGAAGCTCCGCCCACCCGCCAGGGTGTCATTACTTCCTGGTTTTAACCAGGAAGTAATGTGTTTTTTACCTTCTGTGCACGGCGCACGCGCTTCCGAACCGGTAAAGAAGGTAAGTAGATTTCACCCCTCTGTCATTCCCCAAAGATCTTTAGCTCATTTAGCCCACCCATTCTGCCCAGTTTGATGGCTCCAAATTTTTCTTTCTTTCTTTTTTTCCCTCTTTCTCTCTCTCTCTCTCCTGTTTGCAGCTGGGGGATTCCTCTTGGCATCACCACGGCTGCCGTGGCCTTGAAAAAAATCGGTTACGACGCGTCGGATGTCTCGGTTGGCTGGTGCTGGATTGACATCAATGCCGAAGATCGTCTTCTTTGGATGTTACTGGCCGGGAAATTGTGGGAAATCCTCGCTTATGTGACTTTGCCGTTTTTGTACATCCTGATCAAGAAACACATCAACCGAGCGGTGGGTACTCAGAATGTCATCATCTTGGGTGAGCTTATACAGGTGTTCCTCGACTTACGACAGTTCATTTAGTGACCGTGTTGAAGTTACAGCGGCACTGCCAAAAGGGAGTTGTGGCTGTTTTCCCCCACTTAACGACGGGTTGGAGCATCCTCACGGTCAGGCCGTCAAAATTCCAGACGCTTGGCCACGGACTCCTATTTATGACAATTGCGTCATGTGAGTCCCTTCGGCAACCTTCTGCCGAGCAAAGCCCGATTCACTTAACGCCCCCCCCCCTGTGTTGCTAACTCTGCGGTAATTAATTTCACAACAACTGGCCGTTAAATGAGGCAAAATTAGAAATTAAGCTAGGTTTCGCTTTGCAACGGAAACGTTGGGCTCCAGTTGGGGTCGTAAGTTGAGGACTACATGTAATGGGGCAGGTAAATGACAATAGATAACTTAACAACTTAACGACCGTAGTTACTAGCCGAACCGCGGCACTGAACAGTTGTGGCAAGCAAGGTCGTAAAGTGAGGCAAAACGCACTTAGCAAGGGAATTGCTGGGCTCAACTGTGGTCGTAAATTGAGGAATACCTGTGTGGTGCGAGATGGGTCGAGTTCCCAGTTCCGTCTTCCCCAACAGCCCCATTGGCAACCCAAAGCAGCTGCATTCATCCCATTCCGGAGAGGGAATTCTACCCCGTTTTACAGTTTTCTATTTGCGGTCTTAAATTGGCTGTAAACAGAGCTGGGGCTGAATCTTATGGGGTGGAGTAGGGTGGGAGAGACACTTGGTGGAATGTGGGCATAACACAAGGTCACTTCGGCAAGTTTGGGGTGTTAGGGACACACCCCTTGGTCGCAGAACTTTTATGCTCTAATTTTTTTTTTTTTTGAGTAATATAATAAACATTTCTGGAAAATGGCCTTGCTTACTCCATGCTGTCTCTTCTACCTATTTACCGTACCCCACCTCTCTCTCTCTCTCTCTCATGCATCTCTCTTTCTTTCGGGCGCCCTCTTTCTCTCTCTCTCTCTCTCTCTCTCTCTCTTTCCATCTGTCTGTCTACTGATCAATAGTTGTCTATTTACCTCTCTATCCCACCATCTATCTGTCTTTCTCTCTCTCTCACACACACACACATCTCTC